CCAAATTTTTTTAGCCCAATGATTGGAGAAGATGTGGGTGAGTTTAAAACTTAAATTTTGAGTTTCAACCTAACCATTGGAGTTGGTCTAATAACTAGGGTTTAGTGAATGTATCACTAAATTTGTGTGATTGACCTGATATTCAACTTATTATAAATGTCTAGTGTGATACTTAATTATAATTGGTTAATTGCGTGTAAAAAAAAAAAAAAATCTATCATATGCGAATGGTACATAAAATTGTAACTTGCCCAGGTTAATTTTTTTTTTTTTTTTTGGTAAACAATGAGGAATACAACCCAAATTAAAACTAACTCAAAATAGCAATGAAACAAAACGAGTTCGAAAGACTCCAAAAATTTCGTCTATAAGAGTCAATTCAATACAGGCAGGAGGCTGATCAAACACATGAACGCCAACATTCATATTAAAATTTTAATTTGCCAACTGATCCATCACATAATTCTTCTTCCAGAATTACAGTTTCGATAAAAAGAAGGAAGTAAGTTTCTAGTATTTATTTTTCATAGAACACTTGTAGATATTTTGTAGAGGCATGGTGATGAAGATGGGCAGGTAACTACATGGTGATGAAGATGGGCAGGTAACTAACTATGCTAGCAAACTTTACTTAAAAACTTTTTCCATAGTGTTGGTGTTGTAGGACGTGCCTTTTTTTTAAGGAAGATATTTCAAGTGATATCACCCAAGTCAAGTCACAAAAAGACATATAGTTTGCTGCATACTCTCTGTTTGATAGTGTGCTCCTATACTATAACAATTTTGAGTAGAATTCTCTTCCCTTTTAATCCTTCTCTTCAAACTCAAGAGTTCTCAAGAAATTTGAACTGTTTAAATTAGTTATGCAATCTCCATTAATTAATTTCATTGACCGCTTCATAAAGACTAAAAAATGCAGATGTTCAATTTAAATTATATACTTTGAATTTTTTAATCTGTAAGTTCTTGAATGTAAGAGGCGAAGATCTGAATTTATATTAAGCAAGTATAGGAAGCGTGGCCCTCCCGAATAGACAAGTGAAAGGGTGCTCTTTCTAACCACCATAGATGGAGTTGAGTTGGTTTGCCACGTAAGAAGGGCTTCTAGAAACCCTAGTCTTGCTGACTGAAAAATTGTACTCCCTACGGCCTCTACACTCCTAACCCACGCAGGCATTAAATAGTTGGCACTAGGTTATGCCACCCTTCTAGAAGCCTTTCTTTTTTCCCAAAAATGGGGAGGGAGAGAGAGAATAATTAGGTGGTAATGGAAGGCTTTTCCTTATTCTGAATGTATGATCAGATCATGCTACAAACGATATTACTATTTTAAATTAGACGGGGAGAGAGAATTTGAAATTCAAAGATAATAAGTTAAAAATTAGGGGAAAAAAAACTCTGTCTACCAAGAGAATCTATCAATTGCAGGCATGCAGCACAATGAAGAGTCTTATTTTCGTTACAATATCAGAAAAGTTTGATCATTATCATCTTCTAATGTGGTAAAGGATGTTAGTCTTATATATATAAGAGTCTTGTTCTTCAAAGGTCCTCATTTTGAGAATATGTAAGGACCAAATGTATATTAGTCAAAATATTAAATTAGTTTAGATTCAAATACTTAAAGTAATTCACAACTTAATAAAGCAAAAGCAACTTAAAATCCATAAACCATTAGAAAACTCATTTTCTTGTTTTGCTTTGATAATTAAAAGCATTTCAAGTCATCATGTTTGCTATTTTAATGCTTCCAAAACAAATGTTTCCTTACCATTAACTGAAAGATTTGTTGGTGTGCCGGGAACACGACTCGATACATCAAGTGTCATTATACAAGTGGATGGACATTTGAAAAGCAGAAAACTTCCCCCCCAACACTTGGTATAGAGGGACGTGTTCCTTGGTACACTGAAAAAATTCTCCCATTAACTACCCTAGTACACTGAAAAAATCTCTCCCATTGACTACTACATAGAGAGCTAAGAGCTTTTTGTTTCTCTCTAATCCTTGGATCCTCCTTAAGGGTCATACATGAGAAGATCAATCGAAGTATTCTGAAAGAAGTTCTGGATTAATTAGTGCGTGCTTCATGTCTAAAAACATCCTCCGGGGTCGATCTCTGTATCCGCCAACTTCGGAAAGTATTAAGCATGTTATAATCTCCGACTCCATTAGTGCATTAGGAAAGGCTACAAATTAAACAAAAATGACATACAGAATTTCTCCCGAGACTCCTATAAGTCTAACAAGTAAGTTACCATCTGTCTAACAAGTAAGTTACCATATGAAGGGCGAAGTCTCTTTACTTTTGCTGCCCCAAGAACCCACATTGTCAATTCAATTGGTGTTCGGGTATGGCAACTAAAGTTCTTGCTCAGATCGAAAGACAGCTTGTACTTGTCAAACTCAAGTAACCAGTTCTCAACTAAGTTCTTATTAACCCATTTTATTCGCCTGCTTCATACAATGTAAGAAATTCAAACCGTTCAAGTTTAATCGTGTAGTCTGAATTTGTTGATCTGCGAGTTCTGAAAGTTGTGAGATTCCATGAGGATGTGAATTATATAAAGCAAGTATAGGAAGCGTGGCCCTACCGAATAGACAAGTGAAACGAGTCCTCTTTTTAACCACTATAGATGTAGTTGAGATGATTTGCCACGCAAGGAAGGCTTCTAGAAACCCTTGTCTTGCTCGCTAAAATTGGGCCTTAAAACTGGGAAAAGGTTTTGGGGATCTTGGAGATTTCGTGATCATGATCGTTTATTGTATATTATGCGGTTAGTTTTCGTTAGGTACTATTTATATTTAATTTAAAATTTAAAATAATTTCTGATTGCACGATATACGATGAACGATCACGATCACATAATCTCCGAAATTCCCAGAAAAAAAACCGACGAGAATCGTTTTCCCTAAAACTGTACTCTCTACGGCCTCTACACTCCTAAAATCCACTGTGGCATTAAATAGTTGGTATTAGGCCATACCACCCTTCTAGAAGCCTTTCTCTTTTACCCAAAAAAATAGAAATAGTAAGAGAAAGAAAATGGAAATAATGAGATGGTAGTTGAAGGCTGAATGTATAATTAGATCAAACAGGATGAAGACGAAAAAACGATATTTGTTATTACAAGCGATATTAATATTTTAAGTCGGAGAAGGAAGAAAATTTGAAACCTAGCGTACTTCAAGTTATCATGTTTGACATTTAATTCTTCGAAAAGAAAATGTTTGAACTTTGTAGTCTCCTTGTCATTAATTGAGATTTAGTATAACGAAAACACGATGGTATATTAAGTGTCATTATACAAATAAATAGACATTTGAAAAACAAACTTCTGCTCAACACTTGTACCGAGTCGTGTTCTCTGATCCACGGAACGGAAAAATCTCTCCCATTAACTTCTACATGAAGAGCTAAGAGCTTTTTGTTATCTCTAATCCATGAATCCTCCTCATGAGACGTACAAGCTCTAGGTCTGTTGTCCCCTTTTGTGTCTTCTTTGTGCTCTAGGTGTGTTGTCCTCTTCTGTGTCTTCTTTGTGTCTCTTTACTAATATTTTGACATCTGTTCTTTAACTTACCTTAGAGAAAACTCTGTTAATTTTTTTATTTAACATTTTAAAGTTAATAAAAAAAATCCGTAATAATCAGAAAGGTTGTTTGGGTTAACAAGATGAGCAAATCCAAAATATGCTTTCTTCTTTGTGGCTCTACAACTTCCTTTCGAGTATTTTACTGAAAATCAAGATGCTCGACACTCTTGTACAATTGATCAATACATCCTTTCAAAGAGCCAATCTGATCTTTTATTAACTTTTAGATGTTAAATAAAAAAGTAAACTGAGTTATCTCTGAATTAAGTTAGATGACACATGTCGAAATATTAGCAAGAAGACGCAAAGGAGACACGAAAGGAAACTTCAGACCTAGAGCTCTTTCCTAATGCACTAATGGAGTCGGAGATTAAAACTTGCCTTATACTTTCCGAGGATGGCGGACGCAGAGATCAAATCCGGATGATGTTTTTTACATGAAGCAAACCCTAATCCAAAACCTTCTTTGAGAATACATCGATCGATCCACTCATGTATGAGACATAGGAGGATTTATGGATTAGAGAGAAACAAAGGAGACACACAATATGGGACAGCAGACATAGAGCCAGACAAGAATTACATACAGAATCTCTGCCGAGACAAGACAGTAGTATAGGTCCAACTAGTAAGTTACCATATGAAGGATGAAGACTCTTTACTTTTGCTGCCCCAAGAACCCACATTGTCGATTCAGCTCGTGCTTCGGGCATGGCAACTAAAATTCTTGCTTCGGATCGAGGACGGTTCTCATCCGAGAGAGGAGGGAGCCTGCCGGTGAATTTTCAGTCAGTCATAGGAAGGCCAGATCGTGTTAGGCATGTAGCAATGCCAAGTATCACCGTACTAAACACCCATTCTGCAGAACCGATCGAGAAGCCAATAGCCAACCATTTTCGGAGCATGAGGTCCTCCATTTACACTGAACACTTATGATGAAATTGTCATGGAAAATGAAGTTTATTTGTTCGGTACAGCATCGTCATTAGAATTCCATTCGTACTACTTCATAAGAATGTAGGTGTTCATTATTTTCACGCAACGAACGACTGCTCGTTCCAAAGGAACATCCTTAACCGAAACCCAAAACTTCCCCAACTCAACGTTCCATATTCACTAACGATCCGATCCTAAGTCTGAAGCATCGAAGTATAATAAAACGTGTGGAGAGAGGAAGGAACTTCGAGCAAAGATCGTAAGGCATCCACGCATCAAAAAGACGGTGTCATTCCACTCAGATTGAAAAGTGCCCTATGTGATTGTCCTTCACAAGAAGCAACGCTGCTACTCAGCTCCGCCTAGCAGACTTTCCACATCACAAACATTGGGCAAACATCCAAGCAAGCAAACATTCCATGTCAAGATTCAAACTATCGAAATAATACTAACGGTCACACATTTGACTAGTTAAATAGAAGCTTTCATTTCTCTCCCAATTTCACGAATACAAACTGCAAGCCACGATGCAGACAATAACAGCAGTCTGCATTTTCCTTCCAATTTTAGTTACTACAACGACAAGGTACACCGCTTCCTTCTACACGCCTACACAACATTCTAATACAACACTTGTAATTTATACCTTAAAACTCGATGATGATGTCCCAAAGGTGCAGTTCTTTCTCTGGCACCCTCAAATCAGTGGTGAGTAAACCAGACGTGTCTTCATATCCAAACTCAGTTTCCTCCGAATCAACTGTTATCCTCTTGGGTCGAGCTGATGAGTAGGCTCCAAATGTGCCACATCCACGAGCTTTCACGACAACTGTTGTGCTTGTGTTAGGTTCATCATATTCTTTTATGGCTCCCCCAGAGTTCAACATCTTGATTAGGCCTATGGGAGCAAATTTTACGCCGTTGGACAGTTCCTTGACGGGAACCACTGTGAAGACTTCATATTCCCGGGTTTTTAATGTTATTGTCATGGATGCATCCTTGGGAAGATAAGACACCTCTCCTGCAAATTTAATCAATGAATTTGTTAAATACTCTAAATAGTATGGTCTACTAGTAAAGCGTCAAGCCTACATCAACAAATCAAATGCTAAACTTACCACCAAGATGAGAAAATACGACAACATCCCCAGACCATTTCTCATCTGCAACCTTGGGCAGATAAATAACATCTTTAGCCCGAATAACCCCGGTAATTGTGCCTGGTTCCAGGTCGTGGATGAGGTTCGTCTTTCCAACCTTACACCACCCAGCTCCCTGGCAATTGAAGACCCCCACAACTCCAGTAACATCGTTCAGATTCCATATCTTCAGAAGACTGTAATAACATAATTTAGATTAGAAAACACATATTATTTGAAGAGACAAAACCACAAAAGATTGATGTCCTTTTATGAACCTTTTCCCATCTCGGGCAGGATCAGAAAATAAGCAATCTCTTGTTGGTCTTCCTGGAAGTTTGGCCCTCAAGATAGATCCATCAGGAAGTACGAGCTTCCTCAGAAGATCGAAGTCATGCTGCCCAGGCTTGTCACTGCATCACATATAAACAGCTCATATAAATTTGTCTCTGGTTTGATTATTTTCATATCAGAAGGAGAAGTTGGCAAAGACAAAAACAAATACCACACCTAACATAAATTGCACATCCTCCAACTGCGCGAGCTGCTCCATGATATTCAGCCATTGGATGCAGGCTCTAACATCCAGAACAAATCCAAAATAAGAATCGAAAACTAAAACAAAATAGGAGAGTACTTGAACTTCAAACTAATATCAGAGTTTGGCTGCTTACTTGAAACATATCCCAATCCGGCTGCATAAACTCCCCAAGGAAAACAGTGTTGTAAGCAACTGATGCGATATGAATTGTATGCGACGCTGGATCTCTAGGCCAGAAATCATCTGATGCCCTTATAACAGCTGTACGCTTCACACTAGCAAATTCAAGGTCACACCAAATCATTAATGTTGAGAATTCATACAAAAAAAATTCAAGGTCTTACGAAATCAGTAATATTGCGCACACAAATGTGAAATAGATTTTTACCTGTATAAAGCATCTGTATTGTGACTCATACAAGAAATAATTTCGTTGTTAGGAAAGTTTCTAGCGATAGACGCTTCCAATGCTTGATGGTATTTTCTCGTAAGCTTTACCCTTCCACCATGGCCTGCCCCTAGGGTCTCAAGAATGTTCTGAACATCAACTTTGACTCCATCTATACCAGCTGATGCGAGATAAGAGTGCAGTTCATCATAAAAGTTGAAAACTTTATCGGGATTCACAAGGCCGAGCCCATTTGTGGTAATATTTTTCAAGGCAAAGCAATCCTCATTAGACTCAACCCCTGGAGATGAAATTGGGTAGGCCAACTTTGAATCGTAGTGTTCCATTTCAGCAACACCAGGTCTAACACCTCCCCAATATCCAGTTATGGCATGCCACACATAAGCATATCTGCAAGTTCGAAAACAAAACATAAGTACTTCCTAATAAACTAAATGGTTGTGACAACCAAATGTCAGAAAATACAATAAGACTTACTTCAAAGCGTATTTTTCTTTAATTTCGGTAACAATGTGGCGAAGCCCCAAAGCAGGATCCTCTACCCTCTGACCCTCTTTACCATCTTTCTGAAATTTGTGGTTCTCTTTGATATGTGTTAATCTGTTTGCAAAGCTGCAAGAAAAGAACAGAAATATTAATATAACGAAATCTGTAAGGTGAGACAACGTGAAACGAGAGTACTTTGGACCAAGTGCTCACTTTGCTGTGTTATCAGCTATGTATGGAACACCAGAAGAGTCCATGTCGACTGACTGCCATCCGTCATCAAGAATAACGAACTTTGGAGGGGCTCCACCACTTTCTAGGCTGCAAAAAACACTTGTTACTGTCTCTGTAATGCTAATGTCGAGTATTCAAAAGCATCCATAACGAGAATATCAGTACCTCTGCAATCCTTGCTTCAGGCCTTCTGAAGTCACGTTGGTGTAGAAAGCATCCCATGTACACCAGCCAAACCAGTTCAACATGTCTGGCATCTGAAACATAAAGCATATTCACTTAGAGATGATCGAATTGAGGGAAAAGAAAGGGCGAGTTCAATTTACAAGAACTGCGAAAAAGATTACGTTACCTTCTTTCTCTCACGAGGAGAAAATGTCTGCAAATGTTTCTCCACAGTCCTGTGTACAGTTAAAGTTACAACTAAGTCGATCGTATACACATTCACAAATAAATGTTGCCAAGAAAGAGTGGCAGTCCCAATTCAATTTTATTTTCGACTTCAACGAGGAATCTCTATCAGAACTTCAATATCTTCGTTTATCCTAAACTAAAAGCACGGAGATCTAATTCCTTTCTACCATTTTCAACAAAAAATTTAATTGAACATTTTCACAAAGTGACGAGCAGAAACCAAAGAATATATTAGCAAGCATGCAATTTATTAACTCTTCAACTTACTTCACAGAATCTGTGATGACATCGAAGGGGTCTGATCCGGCTCCAACGAAAACCAAATGACTACCCTCAAACCCATCAACAGCAGGATCTCCTACAAAACGCAGATTTTTTGCCATTTCAAAACCAACCAAAATTACTTGTAACGGAACAAAAATACATATGAAATTTTTTGAAAACCTTTTCCTTTTGCCTTACCACTTTCTAGGCAGATTTCAATCTCATTACGTTCATTTCCTTGAAGAACAGCCCTGAAGTCCCCTTCGAGAATCGGTAAGAAAACTGTATAAGCTGCAGATTGATCCGCTCCATCATTGCTTCCTTCACCAAAATGAGAATCAATCTTTGTTTCCACAATCAAAAACTGAGTCTCAAAGGGAACATCTTGGCCACTATTGCCCATCCTCTGTGTCATCCACCATAATTTAAACCGGAAAACGCACATAAAACGCAATCCCCTGCACAAAAAGATCGATTACATCAAACATTCACGTAGGTTCAAGCCACAAATCCAAATTATGAATCTTAACCACATCACTAATCACAATTAGAAAATAGAAAAGACAAGATCCTAAAACTTACTAAAGCTTTAACAATTCATTAACATTAACACGGAATTAAGCCACAAATCTAAAAGTTGACACCTTTACCACATCACTAATCACAATTAGAATTTGTTATTAAATGACTTGTATACATCAACATATAATCAAGTAATTAACCGAAAAGCATATGTTGAAGCCAAAAAATCCAAATTATGACACTTTCCCACTCTACAAATCACAGTCAAAACATTAAAAACAAAAGATCACGAAACTTACTTAAAGTTCCCAATTGCATTAACACAAAATTAAGCCACAAATCGAAAATATGACCTTTCCCACACCACTAATCACAATTTAAAAGTGAAAATAAAAGAACTTACTCAAATTTCCAATTGCATTAACACATAATTAAGCCACAAATCTAAAATATGACCCCTTTCCCCATCACTAATCACAATTTAAAAGTGAAAACAAAAGAAGTCACTCAAATTTCCCAATTGCATTCACACATAATTAAGCCACACATCCAAAGTATGACCTTTCCCACACTACTAATCACAATTTAAAAGGTAAAAAAAAAAACAAGATCATACTCAAGTTCGCCATTAACTTGACGACTAACACGTCGAAAATCACAGTTAAAAAGGTGAAAAAGAAGGAAAAAATGAAAAACTTACTCAAGTTTGCCAATCGGAAAGACCCTGCGGCTACCAGTGTGATCAGATTGGACACCAATGAAAGCACCATTGGCCAATGCACCCCCACATGCCGGAGTAACCACAACGTTGTCATGAACCTCAGACAACACTTTGTTCCCCAACACCACCAAGTTCCCACCCTCCACAGAAATCCCAGCCCCAACCGTCATCTTTGCTCTTCCTCCGCCGCAAAAAGCCCACCAAAAACACCAACTACAACTCCAAAGTTCGAGTGAAACAAGAACACCCCAACACCAGCAATGGAATTAAATTGCAGAGTCAGACACGAATACTGGAGAAAAATCCACGGAGAGGTATTTATAGCATAAATTATAAACTGTCGCAATTAATTGTTGAGTTATGCAAATTTGAATTTTGCAATCCAGGGACTCCGTGTAAATCGGGGAAAAAATGACACTTTCCTCAGATATTTGTTCAAACGTAAACAAAAATATCTTTGTGTTGGCGGGAGAGCGATATATCTGGGATTTGCTGCATGTACCGTGTTGCCACGTATATCAATCATATGTATTTTCGAAGCATATTAAATCATTGAGTTGTATTATTGTTGTCGACTTCTATATTTTCGACAGAGAAAGTTATACACCAGTCTTTCGATTAGTGGCCGTCAAATCTGTGGTCGGAATAAATACATAGTAATGCTTGAGAAATTCTTCGGTGTGCCAAAACACTGAGTTTTTGGCTAATTATATTATTACATTTGACGTACTGAATTGTATTTACGATTGAAAAATATCTTTGTATGTTGAATCAGAATGTTTTGTCATACATACACAAAGAAACATGTGATGTGTACGAGCATAATGATATTTCAAGAAATAAAAAGAAAAAGAAAAGGTTTGAGGTGTGACAATAATTCTTGGTTAACATAGTGTCACGTATCTACATCTTGTAATTTGGATGATTGATGAGTTTAGACTAATGAGGATAATATATTAATATAATGAACATCTTATAATTTGGATGATTGATGAGTTTAGACTAATGAGTATAATATATTAATATAATGTAAGTGAATTCGTCATTCTAATTTGTGATTTTGAAGGTATTCTGAAGTCTGAATAACTTTGGTTTCAAGATGGATGAGTTTTTATTACTTGAGCGATAGTTTAATTTAAGTTAAATTATAAGGTGAGGCGTTCGAACTTGAGTGTTAAGGAAAAACACAACTCTAACTGTCTTTGAATGTCATTACAAAATATTTATCAATGGGGTGTTGTACTAAGTACATGAATGTAGCCAAGACGAGTGAGGAAAAAGATGGATCAGTTCCGGCCTTTCTTTCGTTAATAATTATGTGAGGTTCTAAGAACGAAAGAGGATGGGAAAGCGTCATACCCAAATGAGGAAAGACACAAGAGTGTTTAATTTCTTATGACACTAAGGCTCCGCTTTGGTATTGGTTTTTTTTTTTTTTTTTTTTTGTCCTTCCTTCCTTCAAAAACTGCTTTGAAGTAATAAAAAATTGTTTGGTAAAAATATAATTTCTTACTTATTTTACAAGTAAAAACCTTTAGTCAACAATTTTTATAAAAAACGACGTTGAGCTTTTAATAAACATTTTAAATTCATGCAATAACCTTGTTAGCTTTTAAAAATGACATTATTTATTCTTCTACACACATTTTCTCCATCCGAGAACAAAGTGACCGTCACTACCTACCATTACAACCACTAACCTTACACCACCACTGTTAGTACCACCGAGGACGCTGCCAACCCCGCCGTTACCACTACCACCACCACTGCCACTACTAGTACCACCAAAACCAAAACCAGAACGGTAATACCCTAAAAATTTTAATGTATGAATTAGATATTCATAATTATGAATATGTGGAGGAAATCCAAAATAAATCAATTTATGGTTATGAAAATTGAATTGAGAATTTGTAAAAATTTTGTTTCCGGAAATTATTATAATTTACGTCGTAAAAATTTATTGATATGTAAAAAAGATGAAAAAGGCCCCTAGTTGGTTTAACGTAATTTTATGAGGACGTATGTTATCCTCATATATTTCATTGTATTTCTTGATATATTTGAAAAGAGGACGACCATACCAGCATGTAGGCGAAAACCGTTCGTGAAACGGAGTTTTAACAAAAGAGTTATTAACATATAAAGTTAGGGACATTTTTGTAATTTACCCCTCATTTAGAAGGCTGTAGATTTTCTGGAGCAAAGAGATGTGCCACGTGTATGGCTGGAATGAAAGGAAAAGAAAAGAAAAGAGAGAGATGAATGGCTGTGATGGAAAGGAAAGAATAGAAACAAGGAAAGGTAGAAATGAAGGAAGGGAGGTGGGACCAATGGGAGGAGGGAGCCGGGAAGGGAAGAGAGAGAAAAGGGAAACACCGGATCACCCTAGACTTAATGACCTGACCTGGTTAGCCGGCTCCCGTGAAGGTTTTCGACAATTTTCTGTCTGATTCTTGGCTAGTTTCGTCAAATTATTACTTGGAAAAGTGTTTTCAACCTCCCCTTTGTAAATTCTATCAAAAACCCGAGCTATTTTGGACTTGGTTTCGTGGGAAATGCACCGGTGGGTGTACGAGGTGGGCAGCGACGATTTCGCCATTTGGGGAAGCAACACGGTCGACTACCACCATGGTTCGACTCCTGGTGAAGCAGGAAACAAAGCCCAAACAATTGTAGGGGCAGCGGAGCACCGGAGGTGACAGATCGAAGTCACCCATTTCTAGGGTTTCCGGGGGGTTTGAAGGGAATTGGAGCTTTTCCCGGCCAAATTGGACTTGGGCACAGATATAAAACTTGCTCTACTCATTGAAATCTTCATTTCTATGAAATTTGAGAATTTTTGGAATTAGTTGAATTTTTCGGCCAGTAGAGGCGGCCGGCAACCTCGTGTGGTGGAGTGTGGGCCGAGACCCCACCTGACCTTCCGAGGCTAAATTTGATACCCCAAATCCATATTTGACATTTGACTAAGCAATTCCGTTATTTGAGTATAATTTCGTTAAGATCTACCATTTAATCATTATATGAATTGACGATTTGACCGTTGGATCGACATCAAACTTTAATACATGATAGTACGTAATATATAAGGACCATAGGAAACTACGGACTGGGAATCTGATATACGAATTTTCTCGGATTGGACTTGTAATTTCGTGAAAGAATTGAATTGTGATCCGATTGTGAAAGCTAATATTGGATATTTCCATTATTATATGGTGAACTACGAAATGCTTGATCCCACTCAAGGGTACATAGGCAGTCTAATAGGGGTTAGATGCAGCCTTAAATAATTGAGATTAAATTTTTGTTGGAGATTTGAGGGAAGAAAGAAATTATGGTGATTTAATTGAAAATTAAAATCTTATGTTTTTGGTAAGTAAATTTTGGTTGTAGATTTTGTGAGTAATTAGGAAATTGAAATAAAGAATAAGGTTTAATGGTAGTAAAATAAACAAGAGTTTGAATTAGGCCTATCATTGGAATTATTTCCCGAAAATAAATATTTCGGGGCGGGACGTTACAAAAACTGCCACCACAATCACAACTGCCACCCCCTCCATGTTGTTGCTTTACCACCGTTGTTACCTCTGCACCCCAACCACCACATCTCTTCACCATGGTACTCCTAACATTGTCGTTGTCATCACCACTACCCTCGCCACCGCCACTGTCGTCATTGTCTCACCACCCACGACTACAACCACTATCCTTACACCACTGTTGTCATCGTTTCCACCTCCACAACGAATGCCAATGCCATTGCCACCACCTCAAATCTCCACCACTACTACCTCTACACCTTAACCACCACACTGTATTATTGGCACTACTACAACCACCACAATCGTCACTATTACTGCTTTTTGCCACTGCTACCTCTAAACCTCAATCACCACACCCTGTTTTTGGCACCACCACCATAACCCACCATTGTCGCTATCATCACCACTGCTGCCCCTGCCATCACTATCATCACCACTAGCTTTACCATCATGTCCATTTTTTGTCATTATGTACGATTATATTACTTTATATTAAAATTTACCAAATGGTTTTTGTCACATCCCGGGCCGGGGCGGATCATTTCCCGGGCCCGTTCCACCACCGTAGCACGATATTGTCCGCTTTGAGCTTACCATTCCCTCACGGTTTTGTTTTTGGGAATTCACGAGCAACTTCCCAGAGGGTCACCCATCCTGGGAGTGCTCTAGCCCTCTCCTCGCTTAACTTCGGAGTTCCTATGGAACCCGAAGCCAGTGAGCTCCCAAAAGGCCTCGTGCTAGGTAGAGATGGAATATACATTTAAGGATCAGTCCCCTGGGCGATGTGGGATGTCACAATCCACCCCCCTTAGGGGCCCGACGTCCTCGTCGGCACATTTCCGGCCAGGGATAGGCTCTGATACCAATGTCACATCCTGGCCCGGGGCGGATCATTTCCCGGGCCCGTTCCACCACCGTAGCACGATATTGTCCGCTTTGGGCTTACCATTCCCTCACGGTTTTGTTTTTGGGAACTCACACGAGAACTTCCCGATGGGTCACCCATCCTGGGAGTGCTCTAGCCCTCTCCTCGCTTAACTTCGGAGTTCCTATGGAACCCGAAGCCAGTGAGCTCCCAAAAGGCCTCGTGCTAGGTAGAGATGGAATATACATTTAAGGATCAGTCCCCTGGGCGATGTGGGATGTCACAGTTTTACATTGTTTTTCATGCTCGCAACACTTCAAAAGGTACAATTTATCAAATGCTTAGCTGCTTTATTTTATAGCTGATTATTCTTAAAGCACAACAGAAATAATTTTTTTTTTAAAAGCATAACAATTGCAAATTGGCCCTAACCCTCCTTGTTTCTCGTCCTATTTGATGTTAATCTAAAACTAAATTAATGAAACCCTCTTTGTCAACCAAAAGAGGATAAAAATACAACTTTATCTTCTATCACAACAAAAAGTTAAGGATAGTATTGTAATTTCACAAAACAAAATTTTACTATTTTTTTAGGAATTGTTATTAGCATTCCAAAAATCTCACTTTGCACTCCTAACTTTCTATAATTAGAAAGAAAAATACACTTGTGAGGAGTGTACAATGAGATTTTTGGAATGCTAATAACAATTCTCTTTTTTTAAACCTCACCTACATGTAAGTTTATCATCTCTATTTTTTTTTTTAAACAATCTCCCTCCCTCTCTCCTCACTCCTATGTTATCTCTCACTCTCTTCCTCTCTCCTTCAATTTTAACAACTAAAGTGAAAAATTTCACATACTTTATGTGTGAACATATATTAATGTTGGTTAAAATAGTTGGAAAGGAGGTCTGCAAAGATCAAGGGTGTTTTTGAAAATCTACTTGGTAGGGTTCGTGGACGGGAAAGGAGAATCACTTGATTATTTTCTGAAACAAAAATCTACTCTATTATTGTGGATTTCCAATGACGTGACTTCCGGCACCACATGCACTGTAAGTTATTCTAACTTTGAAAAGTAGAAGTGAATTTTCTCAAAACAAAAAGGTAGAAGAGAAAAGGAAAAAAAATCAGAGAAAAGTAGAATAGACAAGTTATCCAATAAGCTCAAGCTCACGTGAACCCTACCACGTGGAAAAGTAATAAGGGTTTCCACCCAATAATTTGGAAACAAATCATGAGGCTTGGTTAAGTTATATGGAGAATGATTTGTATGAAATTGGTTCCCCGTCACGTGATCAAGGGTGGAGTCAAGTACAAGGTTTCCCTAGACTATAGTATAGGAAGAGTTTGGTTCTTCAAGCTTAAAAATATTAATTTTTATTAATATTTTTAGGTTAATTTATGATTTTTAATTGTCATATTTCACATAAGAAATGAATTTTTTTCATTAGTAAGCCTATTTTTAAGAATAATAAGAGATAATAGATATTAAATAAACTCATCACTTTAACCAATATTATATTTAATAATAATAAATTAAAACTTTCATATCAAAAATGGTTCATTATTTTATTCACTTGAAAGTTTTGAAGGCTAAAAACCTGGAAAATATAGCATAAAATTACTACATTCAAGTTTTTACTATTATATAACTTTATGTAGGCAACGTAAGATTAAAAACTTGATTTCGTAGTAATAATTTTAACTTAGCCCACCCACCGAATAATTTCTGGTTACACCATTGCACGTCATGTATCTTGTTTAATAATATATTTTATCGTGCGTAAGTTTTTTTTATGTATTATTAAATCGAGATGTTACCAGACAGTGAATCAAGTACATATAAGTTACTATCGGATACACGAGTACTTAGATTTGTCGTGGCAACTTATCACTAGAATTTTGGAATTCATTTCATAAGTTCATAACCACATGCTTGGTTTTCTCCAGAAGGAGTGACACGCCAACTACCAAGCAGATTAATGCCTGGTTTGGTATTGAGGTGATTCTGAAAAAAACTGGGAGCTATTTTTGTGTTTGGTAAACATTCAGTTTTAGCTTTTTTTCACAGTTTTGGGTGAAAAAAAGCCAAAAACAAGAAGCTGCAAAACTCAACTTTGAAAAACCGGCTTTTTTTCACATTTGTTTTACATAAAAGTTTACCAAACACTATAATACTGTTTTTTTTTTTTTTCAAAAGCACTTTTACAAAAAAGTTTACCAAACACTGTGCTGCTTTATTTCACAGCTGCTTATTCTCACAGCATAGCAGAAATAACTTTTTTTTCAAAGGATAACAATACCAAACCAGCCTTAAGACTTGGCCAGTAGCTAGGCCAACAGTAGAAATTAAGAGGTGCAATGCTGATTAATTAAGAGTAATGTTATTCATACCATGTTTTTGTACCACATTTTCATATCATCTTAAGTGACATTCGATGTGAACAATCACATCATTCGAATTAATCAGATTTTTAAATTTAGGTCATTATTTAATAAACTAATAATTAAGAAAAACTAGTTAATTAAATAATGATTGTGGTATACGAGAAGTATTTCTCCTTCATTTTCTTGGATTTTGCAAATTTTTCAAATGATGTGGCCGTCCACATCAAATACCACCTAAGATGGTATAGAAATGTGATATAAAAATATGATATAAATAACATTACTCATTAATTAATGGATAATTAAGGAGGCCGATCGAAAATTGTGCGAGCAGGGTGGGGTTATGGTGAGTTCAGCTTCTTCCAATGTAACAAAGTAAACATTAAACTAGCTGCACAGATGTAAATTTTTTCTGCAGATTATGATCTTGTGATAGAGAAGGTTGAATTATGAATGTTAATGTTTCGAATATATCTCTCATTACTTTGATTTCTTGATTAAATTTCTATGATATTATGCATTATCTATCTTGGATTCGATGCTCAAATGAATCTTCAAAACAGAACTAATTAGATGTTAAAATTACTCTTCCAGTTTTCATCGAATTTAATTAGGCACCAAACGAGACTATTTACAAGTGAAACAGAAAGCTCTTGGCTGCCGGAAGAGAATTGCTAGTTAAAGTGGTGGCGCATCCCCTCTACACCATGAGTTGTTTTTCTCTTTTCGAAGTATTTTTGTGACGCCCTGAATCGTATGGTTGCTTCCTTTTGCTGGTACGAGTCGGATAGCTCAAGAAGATACATTGGCCTGCTTGGCAGAATCTCTGCTGCCTAAACGCCAAGCGGGTCTGGGTTTTCGCAGCCTTAATGCTTTCAACAAGGGATTACTCGCTAAATAGGGCTGGAAATTAATCCAAGAGATCCCTTATTTTCACTGTTACACATTACTAAGTAAAGAACTATACCTTAACTATGACACTAATTTCATATTTGGTACGCCAGTTTTTGTTTGGTTTTGTTGTTTCTGAAAGTACCAAGCTCACTTAGAGTTTTCCTTCGACAAATAAGTCAATTTATAAATTAAGTGGTTATTGGAGAACCTAGTCCCATAATATAATACACACTTAATATATGAAAAATAATAAACAATTAATATATGAGAGTTCTCGCTTCTAATATTACGGTGACCTTTTGTGATAAATCCAACATCGATTAAGTTAAAACGATAATCTTTGTGATGGACCTGCATGACCTTATATAAGTTTATCCGGGTTGAGGATAGGCAATAGCATAATTACCATCGTGCACTTCTTCTCCAAACATCAGACACATATCCCCCTTTACATTATATCTTCCATTGTCAACCAATTTATGACCCTGAAAATGGCTGACACGCTTATTTCCTTGAAGATGTGGAGGATGAGTCTCTCTTGAGGATGCACAGAGCAAAGGCGTGCTGGATGATTGAACACTGACATTTTGGAAAAACAAGTTGAGAAGCAAGAAACTGAAGGTGCAGCTACTACTTTTTCTAAGAAAGTAACTTTATCTATTTTCCCGGTTGTTGTCCCGGTCAACCGGGCAAATAGACAAATAGATAAGCAAGAAACTGATGGTGTAGCTGCTACTCTTTCTAAAAAGTAAGTTTATCTTGACATGCTCACTAATAATTTGATAATTTTTTGGGGCGCTAATAATTTGATAATTAATAAAGAGTTTTAGAATAATTAACCAATTTTATTTATGCAAATTAACTTCTTTGCAGGTTATACAGGCATTCTCGTTGATTACCTCAAGTTACAGCCTTACAGGCACAATCTAATTGATCTGTTTCCATTCTTTCTCTGAAGATGACGCTCGAGTTTTCTAAAACGACGTATTGCCAGATTAGTTACTTGTCATTTGTCAACAGAAATTAAGATCAAAGTTTTGCCAACACATATCGATCGACAACTGCACAAAAAAGTTGTAGACCCTTTGTACTTCTTGTACGTAACAAGCTAAGGATTATCCATTTTCTTTTGGATGAGGCAAAACATCGATTGGTTTGTTCTTCTTTTTTGTTGGTATTACAGTAATCGCCAGCAAAGCCATGCATGCACAACTACGTGTCTCACGCGTCGACTGCAACGTGTCCCACATGAACTGAAAACAGTTGCCACATAACAATAGATGTCAAAATCTACACGTAAGCAAAACCCAGCTCCACCACCTCAACATAAAACCCCAACTTTTGCCACTTCAAAAACTCCCAGCGCAAAAAATATACAGATGCGAAAGTAATATATGAAGCAGAGCAAAATGGAGATTCAGCATGGACAGCAGAAGCAGCAGCAGATGCAGCTGCAGACCTCAGGCACAAAAATGCTTGTGGCTGCTTTCACTGGCTTAGCAATCGGAGGGTCGCTTGTGGGGTTGATGGGGTTCAGCTTCTTGGCGTCGGTGACGCTGCTGGTTTTGAGCTCGCCGCTTCTGGTTATTTTCAGTCCACTGCTGTTTTTTGCTGGGTTTGTGTTTGTGGGAGCGTTGGTTGGGTTTACTGTGGCTGCAGCCATGGCTCTAGCAGGGATGACTACTTTAGGGTGGATTTTTCAGGAGCTTACTGGTAGACGGCTTTTGGGATCTGGCGGCGGAGACGGTGGTGGTATGGTGGAGAGATTGAAGGATCAAGGAAAAGATTGGGGTGGGTTTTTGCAGCATGGGAGTGAACAAGATCGCAGGGTTAGTAGTAGAAGCTGAACTTTGTGTACAAATAGTTGCGGCATACTTGTGTGTTCTGGTAACTCTAATGGTCTATCTTTCCCCGGTCTCTATCTTCGTGTATTAACATTATGTGGGGTTTGATGGTATATAACCCAAGTGTTTACACGAAGTTTAATATATATCCTTTTCTGTATCACTAAATTAAGTCACCAAGTTTAATATCCTTTTCTGTATCAATAAATTAAGTTAACTTGTTTGTCTTATAACAAGAGGATCAAACTATGATCTACGAAAAACAATATTTTCTTACCATTGACGCTCCATGCATTGAGATAATATCTTCTTTTTTTTTAAAAAAAAAAAAAAGAAGTTAAAAAAAAAATGTTAGTAGACTAACCCACATCATAAAAAATATTAAGAAATAAAATGTCACTTAGCCTACTCCTCAAATTTTAACCGTATGTGAGGTTCTTTTATTTTTCTAGTCCTTAAGATAATATCCTTTTTTTTCAAAAAAAAAAAAAAAAAAAATAGAAAAGGTTAGTAGACTAATCCATCTCATAAAAAATATTGAGAAAAAAAAAATGTCATTAAATCAGAAGTTAGTCTACTCCTCAATCTTTAAATCGTATGTGAGATTTATATACGATCTTTAATTTTTCTCGTCGTCCTTAAAATGTGAGAAAAATGAATTTGAACTATATTATTGCTAGTTCATTGTAAGGTTAAACTCACCCATTCTTCTTTAATGCAAATGATATCGTTTGTTTTAAAAAAATACGAGAAAAAAATACGAGAAATACCACTACGAATACGTAACATAACATTTATTAATTACTCATGCAATACACGTTAACTTTCTAACACAAACACTTGTCATTTTGCTTGGCATAACTCAACCTTGGTCTGAAATTTGAAATCGATAAAAATGGTCCATGAATTTATTTTTCATTGATCATTTTGTTTGTCATCAATCATTATGGTCAATTCGTGCAAAATTTTTGTTAGATAAAAATGGTCCATGAGTTTGTTTGTCATCAATTAATTTGGTCAATCGTGCAAAAATTTTGTTAAATAAAGATCAAAATGATAAAAATACTCTAAATTTAATAAACATAAATGATTTGAAAAAAGTTAAAGGGTATTTTTGTCATTTTCTCCTTATTTAATGAAAATTTTTCAAGAGATAACCAAAATGATTGATGGTGAACAAACTCAAATACCACTTTTATCGATTTCAAATCTCAATAACCAAAGTGAGGACTGCCAATCTCAATAACTATTTTGGCTAAAAAGCCTTTTGGAAAATTACAATTTTGTCAATTTGAATCATAAACTTTGACAGAATTTTAAGTCAAAATCATGAAAACCAAAAAGTGAGATTTTGATAACAGTCAAACGATAGATTTGTTAAATTAAGTGTTAGATTAGAGTGCCGATATGGTTTAAATTCTCGTCGTGATGTAAGATAACACTCATCTTTACCATTGTGGTAGAAAATCACTTGAAAAAAAAAATAAAAACATAAAATGAGATTTTGAGAACAATAAAAAAAGGGAGCTTTATATATAGTGACAAAAAATTTCACTATATTTCAAGGAACTTCATTAGTTTTTAAACATGTCAATGAAAAACAAAAACATAAAAACAACTAAAGTCTAGCCCAAAAACATAGAAAAAAATGTGTTAAAATACCATATACCCCTAAGGCTTTAGGACTATTAATAGAACCTAACTCTCACAACTCCAATATCCTCAATTATTTTTGCAGAATCAGTTTGTATCATTTATTACAAAAATTTAGTTCAACACATCCTCGACCATTTTTGCAAAATCAGTTCAATAAAGTCCTCAACCATTTTGCAGAATCAATTCATCCCATCATCGACCATTTTTGCACCCATCTTCGACCATTTTTGCATAGTTCAACCTGTCTTCAATCGTTTTTGCAAAATCTGTTCAACCTCGTCCTCTATCGTTTTTGCAAAATCCGTTCAACCTCGCCCTCGATCATTTTTGCAGACTCAGTTCAACTCGTTTTCGACCATTTTTGCAGAATCAGTTCAACTCGTCCTCGACTTTTTTTTGTAAAATCAGTTTAACCCGTCTTTGATCATTTTTGCAGAATCTGTTTCAACCCGTTCGACCATTTTTGCAGAATTAGTGCAACCTATCTTCGACCTTTTTTGCATAATCAATTCAATCCGTCTTCGACCATTTTTATAGAATCAGTTCAACCTGTTTTTAATAGATTTTTTCCGTTAACAGAGGTTGAAATAAAACCCTTAGAGGGACTACGGTTGTGAAGGCTATCATGATTTAGAACTTAGACGTCATCCGAGTTGTTTTTTGAGCTTCATTGCAGTTTTTTAACATCAACTACTTGAACAAAATTAACATATTTGAAAGTTTCAAATAATAAATTTTTTGTATCTCTTCCTCACTCACATCATGGCCGATGAATCCAGAAGCTTGGCTTTTCAATCTTCTTCCTAAAATTCTAGTCGATTTTCTAGTAGACCTGGGAACCATGGCTGCCATGTTTCAGAAACTTAATGAAAATTTTCTCCATTAAGTCCTAAGATTTAAATCTGTAACTATAACGAAAAGCACAAAATTTGAATCAAACCCATAATTAATTTGCTTCTATGTTTCTCTCTCCCAAATGGCAATACAACTCTATCAAATGTTTACCAAGTAAACCCAATAATCATCGTCCAAAAAATTAGGAAATATAGTTAGCAAAATATCGTTTTACAGTCAATTAATTTTAATTTTTACATCAATAGATCCGGTTGAAAAGTTTAAGATTATTTAGAAGATGTAAGATGAGGATGAGAGATCGAAGCAATTCACAAGGAGAGAGGAAGGAAAACGGGCGGTGAGCAAGAGAGGGAAAGGGTGGTTATGTGTCTTTAGCTCGTGATGGGGAGAGATGGTTTAAACATAGGGTCAAAATCGTAAATGCAAAAGTAAATCGAAAAAAATCGGGTGTTATAGTTTTGTCTCTCCTTAAAATAATAAAAAGTAAGACTTGTTTGTATGTGATTTTGAAATAATTGAAAGTGTTTTTATATAAATTGTTTTTGGATTTTAAAAGTATTTAAAGTGCTTTATGTAAGAAGCATTAATTATATGCTTATTTTAGGAAGCATTTTAAATGTTTTTTCAAGATTTACTTGCATTTTTACTAAAAATTTGTTCTAAAAACGTTTTCACCAAAAACACTTCCAATTATTTTAAAATATTTCCAACGACCTCGTATTGTCTTAACTTAAAATTAAGTATTAAAAATATTCTTTGTGTGTAATTTTTCCAAGAAAAAAGAGGTTTTGACAACATAAAAAATGAAATGGCCGGGTGAACGCATACCACTACGTATTCTCCCGCCCATCAGTTAACGACTTACGGCGTTTTGTCCGACTTAACTGCAAACGTACAAATGATACGGCGTTTTGTCCCAAACCGTTGGGATGTTAAATCGACGCGCGGGCCGGTGCGTTGGCGGAGCGACCAAAGTTGTGCTTCACGAAACTGTTGGTGAAAATTCAAGAGAAGCATCAAGATCCAATCTTCCAATTAGTCACCCACAAGGAGGAAGAAAAAACCCCAAAAATATTAATCAAAGAAGAAAAACAGCGACTTGGAGATTTGGATTTCTTTGTTAATCATAGCAAAGGAGTATAATCAAGTACGTTTTACTTTCTAATTTATTTATTTATTTATAAATTTTCCTTCTTTTTTTGGTATTTGTTCATGGGATTGTTTGAACTTGGCAAGATTAGGGTTACTGCTATACTCAGATTCCCATTTGAGCATTTAATGATTTTGTTTGCATTCTGTGAAAACCCAGTTTCAATTTTGTGTTTTGATTTCAACCCAGTTTCTGTATCAGCATTTTTTCTTGTTAGTTCTGGGAATTATTGAGTTTCCTTAAAAACCCAATTAAAATTTCTTATTTTGATTCCAAATCAATTTTCGTTTCAGCATCTTTTTTTCTAATCCTGATAATTTTATTGGGTTTCTTTAAAAACCCAGTAAAAATTTGTGTATTGATTGCAACCCAGTTTTTATTGTTCTGTTGTTATATGGATGAGATGGAGTCTTGTAATTGGAACGTTGGAATTGAGAATGCAGTTTCATAGTGGAAGGAACAAACTTTAAAGTTTGATTTTGTGGCGATTTTCTTAACCAGTTTTGAGTTATTGTTTTAGGGATTTAATTGTGTTTATGTGGTAAGTTACAGTTTTATTATTGTTCAATTGTTTGCAGTATATCAAGCTTGGCTCCAACCTTTTGAAACTTCGTTTCTCATATTTGAGAAATGCTCACCAAGAACTCCGTGCATTGATGCTATTTTCTTTGTATGGATGAATCATTGCGTATTTAGTAAAAGACAATGAATTATAAGCCTGGAATCCAGTCTCAACTTGAAGTGAGTTTTATTTCCTTTCTTTGATGACTAAAATTTTGTCTTTCAGCACTCCAATTATAGTATTTCATTACCATTTATGCATTAATTTCTTTTTTCCACACAATGTTACTCAAAAGAAGAGAACTAACGTAATGTTATTACGGCATAAGCACTGAAGTGATGTTTTGAATGTTATGGTGATTCTTGTAACAGATGGAATCACTGGGTAAGGGATCAATACATGAGTTTGAGGATGAGAGTCTTTTTACTCCAAAGACAGATGCTCAAAAGACAAGTTCTATTGAAGCTGTGGGAGAATGTTCGTTTTCAGGAGGTTCACAAGCTAGCGGTGATAAAGTGTGGAGGAATATTTTTTATAGAAGCATAAAGACTGTTGTTTTCTCAACTAAACTCAACTTGCTTATGCCTTTTGGACCGCTAGCGATATTTGTCTCTAAGCTAACCGGCCATAATGTGAGTTGCAACTCCTCCTTCCTGGCTCATTACACCGTTCAATTTTGTATCTAATTTATGAATGTGAATACAGGGTTGGGTCTTTGTTTTGAGCTTGTTGGGTATAACACCTTTAGCTGAGCGTTTAGGTTATGCTACCGAGTGAGTACTATTTTCCCTCTCTTCTTTCTATCTCCTACTAACTTGAAATTTTTAGAAGCTAAGTCAACTTCATCTTTCCTGATACAGGCAGCTGGCATTCTATACTGGAGCTACTGGTAATGCATTCTTGTTCTTTTGTGCCTGATTGGTTACTTTCTACCTCTTATTCCTTTTTGGTTCATTGAATCAAATTGTCTAATTTCTATACTAGAGTTTGCAATCTAAATGTAGTTTTATCTGACTGGGAGTTGACTTTGCTTGATATTGCTGAAAAATTCGGAATAAGAAAACCAAAAGTTATCATACTGAAAACTATAAAACATTATCTAGGTTGCATACTTGATGAGGAAAGGATCTTTATCTTATTATTTCAGCCACAATTTAAATATGGTTTGAAATCTGCAATATATGTGTTGCTATGTAATAAAAAAAAAGATGCATGTCGTTTTCAGTCTGGTTACCTCCTTGCTTTCATTTTGCTGTAGGAATTTAGATTCATGTAGGATATTGATTACGGCACCGGAAGGGTATTGTGAAATTCTCCAGTTATACATGCACATGTATACATAATATATATATATATATATATGTAAACACATAATTGTATTTGCCTTCAGTTATAATACTGAAGGCGTGCCGCTGTGATTGTCAAATCCACATTGATACTTGGCCTGAAGCATTGAGTATTTAGTCTTGTATAATTTCTGTCCTAGTGTATTGTGACTATTGTCTTATAAATGGTCAGTGACAACTTTTCCTTTTAGGCTCAGTTTTTGACGTATCAAATTGGAACTTGCAGTTGGGGGTCTTTTAAATGCTACTTTTGGAAATGCAACAGAACTGATTATATCGATTTATGCACTGAAACGTGGAATGTTACGCGTTGTTCAGCAGTCGTTGTTAGGCTCTATTCTGTCAAACATGTTGCTGGTGCTTGGCTGTGCATTCTTCAGTGGTGGACTTGTTTTTCAAGAGAAAGAACAGGTGTTTAACAAGGTAAATACATCGGCTTTCTTCTTTCCTCTAGAATTTCCAGCTCCTCTATCTTTCATTCTGAAGCTTCTGTATATTGGGCAGGCAACTGCTGTTGTGAATTCAGGCTTGCTGTTAATGGCAGTCATGGGCCTACTTTTTCCAGCTGTCTTGCACTACACTCACACTGAGGTGCATTTTGGAAAGTCAGAGTTGGCACTTTCAAGATTTAGCAGCTGTGTCATGCTCCTGGCATATGCTGCTTATCTTTTCTTCCAGTTAAAGAGTCAGCATAATCAATATGTGCCTCTAAATGAGGTTAGCTGAGGTTTTTTTTTTTTTTTTTTTCTTTTTTTTTTTCCCCTCCTTTTGTTAGTATGGTGCATGTTTTAATTTGAGTATTATTTCAGCATTTGTCTTAAAAGATTGCGAATGTGTTTTAGCACCATATGTTACCTTATTGAATTTTGTGGTGGCATGTATGGTATGAACTCAGGAAGAGATTCAGAATGAAGAGAATGCAGATGACGATGAAGCTCCTGAGATATCTAAATGGGAATCAATAATTTGGCTATCAATAATGACTGCTTGGATCTCAATCGTATCCGAATATTTAGTTAACGCCATAGAGGTAAACAGAAGATTGTGTAGTTGGGTCTTTTAGACTATGCATCTGAATAACGTTTTAATTTTCCCCTCTTATTACTTGTTCTTGGTCAATGTGAGTAGTTGTTATGCTTTGCAGATTGCAAATGATTAATTTTTATAAGTTTTCATGGGAAATTAATCTTTCAAAAATATTTCAGTGGGTTGGAAAAAAAAAAAAAATTCAATGGGATCGAAGTATGGTGAAAGTTTGGCTACTTGTTGTCATGTTTATATATATATGATTAATGAGCTTCGGCGTTGGATGTTTGATTTGTAGGGAGCATCTATAGCATGGAACATGCCAATTTCATTTATCAGCGTTATTTTGCTCCCAATTGTGGGTAATGCCGCAGAGCATGCCAGTGCTATTATGTTTGCCATGAAGGACAAGCTTGTAAGCATCAAGCTTTTTACTTATTGTGGTTTTCTTACTTTGTGTGCCAATAACCATGAGTTTTTCTTCAGGACATTTCTTTGGGAGTGGCAATAGGGTCGTCAACGCAGATATCCATGTTTGGGGTGGGTACTTATCTTGAAGTTTTTAATGCCATTATCATGTTTCTTATAAAATAATGTCTATATTTTGTTATATACTGTCATCCAACTTATGCCTGTTGATAATTCAGGTTAATAATAATTCAGAATAATGCTTTTCTATTCTCATATATAAATATCTTAGACGTTTTTTTTTTCTTTTCGTTACTGCAGATTCCTTTCTGCGTGGTTGTTGGGTGGATTATGGGGCGCCCAATGGACTTGAACTTTCAGCTTTTTGAGACGGCAACCCTTTTCATAACTGTCTTAGTTGTAGCCTTCTTGCTGCAGGTATGCATTCCAATTCCTGAGGTTAAGAACAAAATGATGTAATATGTCTTTTTTGAAGTCGATTTGTCTGATTAGCTAAAGAGCTTTAAGTCCATTTGATAATATCCGTTTTCAACATTACATTCTGTTTTTGTTGATCATGGCTTTGTTTGCAGGATGGAACCTCTAATTACTTCAAAGGGTTGATGCTTATTCTTTGTTATCTGATAGTTGCTGCAAGTTTCTTTGTTCACGTAGATCCTTCACCGGCAGAAGGTACAACAACCCCTTCTAGCTGCTGGAGATCTTGCCCCTTTTTTGCTTAAATTTGTATTTACAACGTGTTGTTGACTGAAAGAGTACGGATCTTTACATATTTTTGTGCAATCTTGTAGAGGAAACGCAAGTAAAAACGTAATCATGGAAGCTGTTGTAGAAGGCTATAAATAAAGGATGGAGCCTATTTGAGGACGACTCTGTACAGAATGAGAGGCGATATTGGAGATGATATGTAGTTCAAACATAGTCAATGAAGCTGTTGATTCTTAAGCTGGATCTGCAAATGATTCGAGGTCATCGTTCTGTTTGTACATATATACGAGTTTCCGACTGGTTTTTGTTTTCGGTCAACTTCTGCTTGTTCTGTTCAATGGATGTTATGGAGGGGAGGTATTATCTGGGCTTGGATGTAAACCTTGAATAAGATAGGGGGAGTTTGGAGATTGGAAAATCTAAATCATGTATGTTAAATTGTTACATAGAAAAGCCTGTTCTTTTATCACTCTTTTGTGGTAAAATTTTGTTACCTTGTGGCCTGTGAAATTAAAATAATTTAGACAAATTTGAAAGCAAATGGCATTTTTGGCATTTCTGAACAATGTTACAAATCTAGAATTGGTGTATGTTTAGAAGTGTTTTCCAAATATGGAAGAGATTTTTATGAAAATTGCTTTCGGAATCAATCCTTGTCCCAAATCTAGATTTAGAGCGTGTTTGGAAGTGTTTTTAAGATGATTGGAAGAGCTTTTGATGGAAATGCTTTTGGAACCAATCCTAAATAAAATTGCAAGTAAATCATGGAAAAGCGTTTGAAATGCTTCCTGCATGAAGCATATAATGTTTATTCCAAAACGCACTTCAGGTGTTTTCAGAATCTAAAAACATTTTCACCAAGTGTTTTTTGTCATTTTAAAACCACTTCCAAACGAGTCATTAACCTTTTTTGAAAAGAAAAATAGAATAGACTTTAATTTTATTAATACTAGAGAAACTAAATTATGAGAAACCACAGTGTAACGTTTCTAAAAGTAGGTCGTATTTATTAGAGATGTACAATATAATCTCTCTAACATTTCTTATATATCCTTATGTTGTAACAACGGTAGAAGACAAGTTTATGCTCGAAGATATAACATAAATAACGTGTTCCGATTACACCGATGGTGGCTCATCCAAGACCGCGATGAAGGGTGGAAGACGGGTTTGACTCCTGATGCTAATGAATCACACGATGGTGGCTCGGAGAAGGTTGTGAATCTTCCCGGGCCACTAGAAGGATAGACTGCCGTAACGAAGCCTCCAACTGGTCTCTTTTTATAAAATAAAAGAAACCAAGTGTAACGCCTCTAATAGAAATAAGATTCGTCAATAAAAGTAAGTTGTGCCTTTATTAGAGATGTGATATAATATGATCTCTTTAACATTTTTTTATTAATCCTTGCTTTATAACAAAGGTACAACTTATTTTTATTAATAATATTTGCGTTATAAAAGACAAGTTTATGCTTGAGGATATAACATAAGTAATGTGTCACAGTTACGCTGAAAAAATAACTCGGCAAACATATTCCAAACTCATCCAAGACGCGATGAAGCCTACAAGGCAAATGAGCAAGACGTTGATTTCATATTGCGTGTACATAACAACCTAGGAAAAATGAAAAGAAAAGCCAAATGAGCACGACGTTGAATATATCTTGGATTCCGTCGAATTATTATTGGGTTTTTTTATTAGTACTCCACTAATTATTGAATGCATCCCATTTAATATTTATTATTAAATAATTTGTATAAAATAACTATTTAAACCCTAAAAAGTAAAGCAAAACAATTATTTACTTCCTACACCCCATATCGCTTAAAAAAGATCCTAACCACCCGTAAATGATATGTAATTTTATATATACCTACACTCACAATGCCGTGATTATGGTTTTTTTTTATCAAAAATGTTAAGGATTCTGCAACATTAGAGAGTACTCTGAAATATTCAAATCTTCTTTGAGATAGTGTAGTAGTGGTTTTTTTTTTTTTTTTTTTTTTCTTTTGCTAAATTTGTTCAAGCATGTTTGCTATTTATTTCTTAGGATGATTTGTGGTGCAATTTCATTCAAGCATGATTGCAGAACCGAGAATCTGCATGAACACAGCAAAAGCAAAATCCAGTAGCCCTTTCATGATTTCTTATTTAAGAAAAGCCAGCAAAGTAGCAATTTCTGAGTTTAAAATCAAATTCACATTTAGAGCTTAATTCCCCTAAATTGACAAAAATCTTGAAGCAGTAGAACCATGAGCACTGTTTGTGTGCTGAAGACAAAGGGTTTAAATTTATTTTTAGGAAATGATGAAGACTCGAGGTAGATTTTGGTGTGGGTTGTGTAGGGTGTGAGGGTAGTTTCGGTTAGTAAGTGGGGTGTATTAAGATAATTTTTAATTTAAAAAGTAAGTATAGGATGTTTTAAGTAACGTGGAATGTTAATTTTATCATGATTCGGTTCTTGGCATTTTCTAGAGTAAGATCTTTGATTTCTTATTGCTTGTACATAACAACCAAGAAAATAAGGGCAATCAGCACGACGTTTAATATATTAATTCAACTTTTGATAGTGGCTTGGAAATGGCCCACAAATTACATCACCTTTGGATTTTATAATGTTATCAGAGAACTTTTACAAAAAAACAACGCGAGATTATTTCCGCAACTTTAGCCTTTTTTTACGCTCTGCTAAGACCACAGAAATAGATCTGTTAAAGGATTGGATTTTGACCCCAAATCGATCAGAACCTGATAATTCGATTATAAATAGATCTGGGATATTTGTCTAAAGCTGATTTGATCCGATAATAATCTATTTGATCGACTTAATATATCATATTATTTGATTTTGATATTATTACAATTTTGTGTTATCATAAATTTTTTTTTTCGTTATCGTTGTAGTGATACCCTACTTTTAAATAGATACATGTGGTGAAAAAACCATTAATTGTAATTCTGTGGTGAAATTTATTATCAATCATAGTCCTAATTGGATTTTGTCTCATTCTTCTATCATTTGTAGGGGCAAAATTGTTATTTTCTTTTTTTATTGATTCTATCAACCAATCATAAAGTGCCATATGGACATATTATTAGATTTTCTCATTTCAAGAGAGTCAAGAGTTCAAATTCAAGATTTAAAAAATCACAAAGTACCTCATTGCGTTTAGGTTAGAATATAAGTTATTATGCAAACATTGAATTAAGTTTCATTTTAAGAACAGTAGTGGACGGGATGACTAGGGTTATGTGAGAGAAAGGAGGGAAGGTGGTGGGCGGTCGGTGTGGCTAACAAGGGTAGGGATTGGTGAGGGATTTCTTCTTTTATTTTTTATTTATTTTTTTTTTACTTTTTTTTAGTTGATTATAAGAAAGTGGAATGCCAAAAGGAAAAGAAAAAAAAAATAATGGAATGACCTTTTTACCCCTATATGTGGATGAGATTTTGACAGAAATTTCAATTTGGACTACGATTGATAACGAACTTCACCACAAGGTTAAGATTAACACTTTTTTTTACCACAGGGGTCGATTTAAAAGTAGTGTCTCACCACAGGGATCAAGAAAAAAAAATTTAGCACTTATATCATATTTTCTTATTATTCAACATGAAAATTTAAATTAAAAGTAAAAAAAAATATAACAAAAAGATGAGGCCACTAATGATATTTTAATCTTTTCTAAGTCTTAAATTAAATCTGATAAGGATCCGATTTGATCAGATGGTAATTGGATATAGATTAACTAGTCAAATTCAATGATCCGAATCGGAATAAGATTCAAATTTGTCAATCAGATTATAAATGAATCCGGATATGAATCAAGACTGATTGGATCCGAATATGACTCGTTTATAGATCTAGAGATGAATTAGTGTGGAAGGAAAGAAAAGAGTTTGGGGGAATTTATTGGACGAATTGTAAGCCAACGACTTGTTTAATTGTACCAACACTGTCAACTTCCCACCTCACCATAAAAAAACAGTTCTACTAGTTGCTTTTTGACTTTTGAGTGATATCTCTGCAGCAAAGATGACATAGATCTGCCGAAGTTTTCTATGACATGCCAAATGTGAACTTTGTTTTCGGGTGCCAACCTGTTTATTTGTACCTCCATATTTTTGACAAGTTTTTTCATCTATCAAATTTTTGTGGGGGAAAGAGATGGGTGTTGGTGAAGCAGCAGAAGATCAGCAGTTACCGCTGCTAAGAAGTTCTTCATCAAATGAACGCAACCAACCTCTCAAAAGAACTGGTAATCTCAACTCATCCCATTGTTTCTTACAAATTTTGTTGAGTTGTATGCATATGTAGTCAGATTTTGCTGCAAGAAAATCCGTTAGAACCAAGGGAGTTATTAAATTTGTTTGACGAGTGGCACGTGACCGTTTCGTTTAGCAACACTCAATCGTTGTTTTGTTGGAGGAGGTCATGAGTTAGAGATTTCATGGCCGACAGTGTTGATTGGAAAAAGGAAATTTGTAACCAGAGGACTCAGAGGGGCCATGTTTGAGAGCTTGTAGAGCTTTCGCATGATAACTTTAGGTGGTTCTAATTATTTTGGTAGTGTAGCGGTTTTTGGGTAGGTTTGATTGGCAGTTGTGGGGAATGTGCAAACAATCCCGTGGTCCTAGTTCCTCCCTCAACTACCCCCATTAATTTGTATTATTACTAAACTGCCGTTTGACCTCCTCAACAATTATTTTAGTTGAAATTAATCCCTGCATAATTTTTTTGGTGAATTAGTTTTCTGAACTATTTGAAATTAGCCAATTAATACTGTCAAATTCGATGAAATTTCATATATTTTGGCGTCAAATACCAGCATGTGCTGGTCCAACACATGATTCGCTTTTGAGAGAAATGTCGTGCCAGTAGTTGACTGCAAAGTAGATGAAATTTCATCGAATCTTATGGTGATTTAGGGGGTTAATATATATATATATATATATATATATAAATGTTTAGGTGGTCAATTTTAACTATGGTAATAATTCAGGAGATCAAACAACAGTTTACCCCAATAGAATTTCGAGAGTTTATGTAAGTCTCTCTCTCCATACACTTGATCAGACAAAGTTTTTTCATGGAACTAGTCACAATTGCTGAATTCTCGCTTTTGCTAGTTTTTGGTTCAATTTGATTTTTCTTACCTCGGTTCGTTTTTAGCTCTTTTCTTAGGGTTTTTGGTTATTGTCCCTCCTATCTAGGTATTTCTCTTTGCTTCTTCAACAAGTTTTCCTCGTGCTGTCAACTTTTGAGGCTAATCTTGACATGAACTTTTTAATGTACAGGAACTCTACCGACTGCAGTAGCACATATAATAACAGGCGTGATAGGAGCAGGAGTATTATCCCTTGCATGGAGTGTGGCTCAGCTAGGGTGGATTGGAGGTCCATTGCTTATGCTTGTATTTGCTTCAGTCACCATTCTTTCCACCAACCTCCTCTCCGACTGCTACCGGTACCCCGAATCCGATAGCCCGACGAGGGTCGGATCCTACTTAGAAGCTGTCAAGGTCTACCTAGGTTAGCATTTCTAACCCAGTAACCATATAAATATACTCTCTAACTTATTTTTATGATCTTTGTAGCATCCCATTGGCAATTTTGATTAAAATATTTTAGACCTTGTGAGATGTAGATGTAGAGTATGTGACGTGCATTCACGGGGGTGTGATTTTTTTACTCTCGTTCTGTCTATTTGCACTTTTCTCCGTGTTTGCTTTCGTTCTTCCTTTTGTTTCCTTAAATTTCAATTACCAAAATATAGAAATAAATGGAAGGAGCACATATGGACAAACTGAGAGTGTAAAAGTCGTAATTTTCTAAATGCGTGCAAACTTTGTTGAAAAAGTGGAGCTAGTAATACATGAATGACTGTATGTTACGCTCAGTCGTGCACGCATGAGTAGACGACTGTGAATGACATCTCAAAGTCTCCTAATTTCACGTTGGCGACTTAACTTAGTCTAGCATAATTTATGTGTAAATTGTATACACATAAGTAATTTTGACTTGTGTATGATTGAATTTTAGGAGAGAAGAGTCAGACAGTGTGTGCAATATTTGTTCAGGAGAGCCTGTATGGCACCGGGATTGCCTACGTTATTACAGCTGCTGGCAGCGTCAAGTAAGTCCTTGTCGAACCTTAATCTGCTTATTGCTTCTTTGTTCTTTGTTTCTTGTTGCACTTGTCTTTGCAAATCCAACGTGATTTGATGGGATGATTGTTTGCATGCTTAGTTTAAGTCCTGAGTTTGGAAAAATCCTAACATCTTTCTTGTCGGATCACATGACTTTGCCGTTACACACACAAAAAAAGCTGCTTTGTATTTCCTTTTCTCTCACTCATACCCATGGATCGATCCGGTTGAGAGAGACCTCATGCTACAGTCAACAAAATTTCTCTCCTAAATTTGGGTGAAAATCAAGGAAGATGATTTTCATATATTCTTTTAGTTTCTTAGACATAACGGTCAGGTAGGATTAAATATGAGTACGAGAGTCTTTAAAAATGTGTATCATTTAAACGAGTCACTTGGGTTTATGATCCCAATTTTTTTATAGAAGAAATTTGAGTCCAGTTGCTTGGCATACTGGACCATAATCCAATTGAAAATGGCCCATACAACTCCAGTTCTTGAGTTTGATGATTCTGTGCCAAGTGAAATCCTAACGTTGCCAACTACAAGAAGATATTTGGTATGGTTATTTGATTATGACAATTATCATTTCGTGTAAGATTGTATGAGGTTGAACAATACCAAAATACGAAATAGTCTTATACTTTTATGAGTCACATCATTAACGTGATTGTGCACTTTCACCCAAGTTTTTCTCGCTGATTAGAGGTCTACGGCTCTAGACATGAAAGGATAAAGTGATGAAATATGCACAAAGTGACAAAGCAAGAGATGCCGATTGACATAATAAAGTTGATGCAAACATATATCAACTTGACGTGAGAAAAAGGAGGGAGATGCTCCTGCCTTAAGAAAACTACAAGCTCAATGTATGTGTGGTTAGAGCTTTGCTATGCATAATTAATTAGTTGTCCAAGCGCGGCTGACTTTTAACTATTGATGCAGTGGTGCCTACTCGTTAATCAATATTGGAAGTCATCGGCATGAATTGAAAGATGTGTGTGTTAAATTTTGCTAAAAACGGATGGTACACGAACGGGTAACTCTTGGTCATTGATTAATAGTGGATAGACTTACACTAACAAAGTCACTTGCCCACGAGTGTGTGACTGTTCCACTCACTCCTCGGGTGTGAGTTATGGCAGCTAATAAGTGATGAGGAATCAAATAAAAACATACTAGAATGTTGAAGCTCTAATTCTATGAAAAAACATACTAGAATGTTGGAGCTCTAATTTTATGTGTTCTTTTATCTTCTTAGGTTCCTGCGAGATTTATTTTTGTAATATGCTCCGGTATACTTACACACTAGTGCGTACTGGAAGCTTTGAACCTTTTTTTAGTAAATCAGGACCATGGACGAAGGCAGTATATATTCACTGGGAGCAGCTTTCCCCACTCGGAACTCTTTTTGCTATAAAAAAAATGTTCCAACTAAAACTATATATTACCTATATGTTCAGAAATAGTCTCAGTCCAAACACTCAATTCAAAATATCCTCTCATGTTCCGTACTTTTCCTACTTTCTCATCCTTTTGAGCCATGCAATTCTTCCATTAGCTAATTGTTCACATTTTACCGTTCTAAACACCAATTACTTGAAATTATTTCAAAGTTTAATTTAATTTCATCATTCAAAGTTGCTTCCACCAAGGTTCTTAAAGACGTTAGGCACGAGTTCTGCGGCGGGCAGAGGCCTAGCGCCAAGGCATATTTATATAAATTTATTTTATCGTATAAATAAGTCTTTGTTTATACTTAAAAATACATAATTGGATTGAGATACATAATTTGCAAAATAGAATGATATATAGATTATAAAGTATTAGAACATAATAAAAATATGGGGAACAAGCATATAATGTATGTTCATTTAAGTATTCAATAAGTCTATTACAATTTATTGAAAAAAATAAAATGCAAAATAAAAGTTATCTATTCTCTGTCTAAGTTTGAATCATGAACTAAACGGATGCCTAGGTGAGTTTAAGTGGACGCCTAAATTGGCCTAAATAGTATTAGGAGGGAATTTTTAGTGGTCCACTAAAAAATGTTTCTGGCTTTGTCTATGTTCAGGACTCATTAACGAATAGTGATTGCTAGTTTGAGCCGCCTTAAAATTGTAAGGTGGCCTTTTGATGGTAGAACAAAAGAGAGTTGCAAATTGCAATGACCACTAGGGAGTTGTCCTTGTGACATACTGACATGTCTATGCAACTATAGCGGCACTTAAAAATTGGTATCACTGAGAATTAGTACAATAAACTGTACTTTGGCACATGGGATATCGGGATATGGTTCAAAGTTCTATTTATTTACTTATTTTAGTTTTTGATTTATCAATTTAACTTCATTGAACGGTGATAAATATGATAATGAGTGTTGTTGATGCACAAAATCAGCGAGGACTTTGGTACAACAGAAAGTGTCAAGTTTGTGACCTTCGCTAGGTTGCTTTGGTCATTAGTGTGGATAAGTATGTAAATGAATAGAGACAGGAAAACAAATAACACAAGATGTACGTGGTTCACCCAGATTGGCTACGTCCACTGAGTAGAGGAGTTCTCATTAGTTGTGAAGGGTTTACACAAATACATAGGTTCAAACTCTCTTTTAGTGAGTTCTAGTGAATAGTTTAGTACAAATGACATTAGGGATTATTGTGGGAGAATGATCCCCTTTTATAGAAGAGAGTTTCTAGTTTTGTTGTGACATTGACACGTGTCGTGTTGTTATTGGCCTCTAATATCGACACGTGTTGCGCTGTGATTGGCCTCTGATACCGACACGTGTCACGTTGTGATTGGCCTCATAGTTGGAGGAAAAGTCTTGTGGGTCATTGACGGTATGCTGTTGACCGGTGCTTAGTAGTTTCGGGATTGATCAAGTATGGTACAAACAGTGCTCCCCTAAGTTCTCGACTGAGGGAAGCTCCTCGGTTGGTACAAACAGTGCTTCCAAGTACCGAAGTGTGGTGTCGCCTTCACTTGCCTTCTTTGTCCTGTAAGTAGATGTGGCATCTTCTCTTGGAACTACTTTTCCTTCATCCATGAATGGTATCTTTGGTTGGCGTTGACGCACAAGGTAATGTATTATTTTCATTTGAAGCTTACTTGTAGTTTCGGGTTTGGTTAAGTGCGATACAAACCATATAGTAGGAGTCCCCCAAGTCTCTAAGCGAGGAAATTTGCCGAAGGAGGTGACATGCAAGGTAAGCAATCAGGGTTCCAAGCAATCAGTCTCAGATCGGTAAGTTGATCTTGGGTTCCGGCTGATTGTACTCATTCTCCCTGTCTCTCATTCAGCAATAAGGATAAAGAGAAGAAACAGGGAGAAGAGATGATATGAGGTATTCTTGTTTTTGGAGAAGACGAACGAATAGGCACGTGCTTTGTTGTACTTGACTTTCCACATGTGTATTCTTGAACTGGGCTGGAAGGTTTTCTGGTTTCCTCCAAAGGAGCGAGTCGACTCCAAAATTTGAGGGTCAAAACAAGTCCGTCAAACCTAGAGTATGTTCGATCCTGATGATATGGGATACTTTTGCTGTTTGACAAAGTAGTAGATGTGGTATGGCGAAACTTTGTTATTCGACAACGGTGTTGGCAAATGGCTATTGAGGCTTCTCGATCTTTTCAATTAGAGCAATGATACCGAGCCTGGATTTTTTATTTTGTTGAAGTTTGCATGTTGAAACTTCGTGGGTGGACCCTGTAAGTTGAAGTAGTGCTCCCTTAATTTCTTGAGTGAGGAAAACTTCTCGGTTGGGGACTTGAAAAATCCAAGGCCTTGAGTAGTCGCGAAATTTCTGGGTATCAAGGTGTAGTATTATATGCTAGGAGTCCTCCAAGTCTCCGGTCGAAAGAGTTGACGAGCGAGATATCTTGCTAGTAGGCAATTTTCCAAACAAAACTTCACCATTTTCCTTTCTAAGTGGTTGCCCAAAATTCCTCCTTCATATATATATTTGGTATGAAAGTTGTTAGGCCCAAAGAAGGGGAGGCTTAGGCTCATTTTATTTTTATTTATTTTTTAATGGGTGAAGCTTTTGTATTGAAGCTTTGTGGGTGAAGCTTTGGTGTTGAAGCTTTTGTGTTGAAGCTTTGGTGTTGAAGCTTTTGTGTTGAAGCTTGTAGGTGAAGCTTTTGTGTTGAGGCTTTGTAGGTGAAGCTTTTGTGTTGAAGCTTTGTAGGTGAAGCTTTTGTGTTAAAGCTTTTGTATTGAAGCTTTGTTGGGCACCATAACTTGATTTTGCTTCACACTATCTTGATCAAGAGTGTGTGAAGCTTTTGAGAATTGTAGTTGCTCTCCATTAATGAAGCTTTGTAGGTGAAGCTTTTGTGTTGAGGCTTTGTAGGTAAAGCTTTTGTGTTGAGGCTTTGTAGGTGAAGCTTTTGTGTTGAAACTTTGTAGGTGAAGCTCTTGTGTTGAAACTTTGTAGGTGAAGCTTTTGTGTTGAAGCTTTGTTGGGCACCATAAATTGATTTTGCTTCACACTATCTTGATCAAGAGTGTGTGAAGTTTTTGAGAATTGTAGTTGCTCTCCATTGATGAAGTTTTGCTGTTAAAACTTTTTTTGATGTTGAAACTTTGTAGGCGAAGCTTTTGTGTTGAAGCTTTGTTGGGCACCATAAATTGATTTTGCTTCACACTATCTTGATCAAGAGTGTGTCAAGCTTTTGAGAATTGTTGTTGCCCTTCACTTGTTGAAGCTTTTGTTGGCAACATAAATTGATTTTGCTTCACACTATCTTAATCAAGAGTGTGTGAGGCTTTTGACATTTGTTGTTGCCCTCCATTTGTTGAAGCTCTTGTGGTGAAACTTTTGTGTTGAAGCTTTGTTGGGCACCATAAATTGATTTTGCTTCACACTATCTTGATCAAGAGTGTGTGAAGTTTTTGAGAATTGTTGTTGCCCTTCACTTGTTGAAGCTTTTGTTGGCACCATAAATTGATTTTGCTTCACACTATCTTGATCAAGAGTGT